AATCATGAGAACACATCTTCTGAAACACTGGTTTATTATTATGATATGATAGATACCTATTTAATGCGGATATACAGTATGGGGTTATGATAATATTAAAATATGGTAGTTGGTATTGATTTATTAATATTGTGTAACTATAAAAGAGATTCCTAATATAATAAGTACGAATCAAAATATAACACAATATGTATTTTRCATATTTATATTATACTATTAGGACTGTAATAGCTAAATACAATTTAATAACTTAAATGTCACTCGTTTGAATTTAAGTTTAGAATTTTAGATGTATGAAAAAGTTCATCTGCTTAAGAAATTTACAGTAGAAAAATGTAGTTCTAATATCAAAAAAAGTTAGAATAAATGCATTATTGATTTGAAAACACACGGAACATGTTTGGTGAATCGTGCTGTATATCTATTATGTATTATGATTCGTACATAGGTAGAATCTACGCACAAGTTATTGAATTTGCGGAAATCGTTGTATATAAAATCACATGAAAAGTTTATGACTCTGCATTCAACACCACCATCGCTTCTATGTGTATAGGTATGACACAATTTTCTTCACGATCCACTTCATTTTCTTCAAGAAACAATAATAATCTTACAAAATATGACTTGTCAGTACAAGCGCAAAACAAAAACAACAACGGCGGAAAAATTGGTGTAAAATTTAATAGAACACAACACACTGCCGTTTTACTCCCTTCAACACCCAAGTACTCACGTTCTGTTATCCCCTCTGGGTCTGGCATAACAAAACGTGTATGGAATGTTTGGTTTTGCGTATTGTATAACTTACCTATACCGCGAATTATYAGACTTTGCAATATAACGCTTGTGTGAGATACAAATTGGTGATATTACATGAATCACTAGATAGTAGAGCCTATCACTTGGCGGAAAAAAATTATATATTTTCTATCGTACATATACAAGCACAAATTTATTTTTTTGGCTTCTATATCTTAGAATAATACAATAATATATCTTTGTTTATTTTTTTAAATCT